TCAATATAATAATACAAGAAAAAGATATGTCAGTAGGAATAGAAAAAAAAAAGACAAATTAGGGCCTTTGCCGGGTAGTTCAGTTGGTTAGAGTGTTGACCCAATACGCCAAGGTTACAGGTTCGATCTCCAGGCGGGCACATACAAGAAACAACCAATGAATGCATAAATAAGGGGAACATCAAATTTATGTTTATCTCTTTTTCTCTTGCTCTAAGTTCAGTACATTAAAAAAATTTAAAATGACAAATTTTTGTTTTATGATTATCTATCTAGAAAATTCAAGAATATCTACATATAGATTTTTTAGATCTAATAAGAGAAGTCAGCTGGGATGCTGGATACAAGGTCAAAATTCAAAAATCAGGAATGTCTCTGTGGGCCAGTAAATAACCAATTTGAAAATATAATAAGAAAAAAGGATATCATGTAAAATATTAATAAAACCTATAGCAAGTAGATACAGCAAAAGTTGTATAAGACCTTTATAGGGGAAATCACCAATAATTCACCTGAATAAAAGGAGAAGACCCAATATTATAAAGGTGTCAGTTCTGCTGGAATATAAATTAAATACAATTTTAATTAAATTCCCAACAGGATTGTGTGTGTGCGTGTGTATGTCTGTGCGCGCGCGTGAGAACTAGACAAACTAACATTTAGATGAACTAATAAAACCCAAGAAAGTCAAGAAATTTTGAAAATATTTACAGTAAAAGTACTCATGTTAGCTAACAATTATTATGTGCTTCCTTAAATGGCAGGCACTATTCTAACATTTTGTATACATTATCCCCTCACAATTATCCTTAAAGTGGATACTACGATCTATTTCATAGAGTTGGAGACTGAGAGAAATTAGGTAACTTGTCTAACTCAGGAGTAGTAATCGATGCAGGATGATAAGGATGTAATACCTTCCAAGTACTAGGGAGAAAATAATTGTGAGTCCAGAATTCTACCCTTAAACTCTCATTTGTAAGAGCAAAATAGAGACATTTTCAGGAATACACATACTTTAAAGTTTACCAAAGACCGTTTATGAAAGACCTTCTAAATTTATGTTGACACGAAGAAAAATAAACTAGAAGGAAGGAGTGGGATGTCAGAAGTAGCAGCCTCCAAAATGTACTGAATAAAACAAAACTATGCAAAGTAGGTAAGAAAATTGGGACTCAATGAAAACTAAAGTAAAAGGGTATAACAATATTATTATGGAAAAATAGAGCTATAAAGTCCTGTACCTACGCTAGAAGTGGGCCACTGAGCTACTCAGAGTTGGCCAAATAAGAAATAGAAACCGTCAACTAAAGGATTCACAGCATCCACAAGACAAAACAAACAAGTTGCTCACAAAGACTTTACTTGGCACTGTGATCAGAAAAGCATTTCTCATATGGTTAAATGTCTATAAGATCTAGGACATTGGTCTGAGTATGATAATTTGGGAAAAGTCCTTGACTCTTACAATTTTTTTTCAACAAGGAGGTGATTTAGATGCATCAGCCTTTAGAATAGAAAAGATAAAGCCTCCTTCTAAAAGTGTATCATTTGGATGGCGAGGTGTTATAGAAAAGTCCATCCTTCTGAAATAGTTAGGTGTATTTCTGGAAGAGGATGAACAAGGTGACCTCTGGGGGCCTGGTTACTTGTGAGGGCAAGGAGTGGTCAGTCAGGATGTGGGCATTTTTCCCCAGAGCCATCCTCCAAATCACTCACACTGAAAATTTCCCCCTCCACTAAACCAGTTAATCTTGCCAATGCATGGGATCACCCATCTAGCCAGTCTTCTAAAAAATAGTTTATCATTGTATTTTCACAGTAATAAGCATCAGGAATCAATTAGCTTTCCTCCTCTTTCTTGTTCCATAAATCCTTGACTCCCCTACCCTGACATTCCATATAACACGTAGGTGAATGGGAGCGTGGGAGCTTTCCCTGGGTCTTCCTGTCCATCACACTCCCCTGACAATGCCTAGGACAGTGTAAGCCCACATTGGTAGAGCTCTAGGGACATTAATTTGCCTGATCTATTTAAATTAAACATCCTACCTTCTACCAGGACTGCTCCAGAATCCCATGGGGTTCCTGGAGCTCAGGCTGTCTGGGAAGACTCCAAGGAATGCTGATACTTATCAGTACAACTGGCTCCCAAGGGAAGGTGAGCTACCTCTCACTAAGTCTGGGCCAATTCCCAAGGACTTCCAAAGAAAAGTGACAGTGGAAGAAAGAAGAAAAAAAAGGAAAAAAGAGAAGTGGCAGTTGGAGATGGGAGAGAGGGGAGACAGAGGCACTTTACTAGTATTCAAAATATCAGTTTTTAAAGCACAAAATACTCTCCCTCTTCCTTTTGCTACCTATTGTTCTTATAATTAAAAGAATGACAATAATACAAGTGCAGGAAGATTGTAGAGAGTAGGATTGCGATGCATAGACTTTGGCCACTGATCTGCATTCAACTGGCTATGCAACTTTGGCAAGTCACCCCTCTGATTCTAGTTTCTGAATCTTATATCATGAGAATATTAATAAGGGTCATACCTCAAAGAGTTGTTTAATGCCATATGTATGTGCATTATACTCAATACATCCTAGCTATTACTATTGTAAAAGCTTAAGAAATGCAGGCAAGCACACAAAAAAATTAAAAGCACCTATCATCCCACCATCCATTTTGCTGCATATAACCCCAATGTTCTTGGATGTATTTTTAAAGAGTGAGTTTACAATGCTTCCTATTTCATAGTCCAATTTTCACATTTAACATCATACCTTGAGCATGTCCTATGTAATTCCGTATTCTTATACAATATTTTGAAAGGCTACATCCTTTTCCTTTGGGCTATTTTACCCCCCAATGACCCTTGCCCTCCTTCCTCTCTGCAGGCTCCATACTTCATGCATTTCCATCTCATCTGACCCATCCAGATGATCATTCACTGCTCTCCATTTGGCTCACTGGGGATGCAGCCTTTATCTCACCACCCAGAACACCTGCTCCTTGGGTAAGGGGCACATGGCTAGCACTCACTATATCTCCAGCATCCAGAGCAGCCTATCTGGGGCTGCAGCAAACCCTTGTGATTGATGGCAAACTACCCACTTTAGTAAGATTCCATGAAGTGTTGGTACAAAAGCTGAACAAGGCAGAAGGGGCGGGGGCGTTCTCTCCAAAAAGCATAAGGTTAATTTCTGGGGCATTAAATACACTATTAAAAATTCTCAGGAAGAGGAAGAAACTGAAGATTCTTATCTGAGTGCATTGTTTTTCTAAGCAGCAGGGCCAAACAAGTTCAAAATTTATGGGCTTTCTTTTTGAGTGGAAGTCGCAACACTTCCTATCAATGATGCATTGAGATCACAGTAACACATTAGTAATTCCTACAAATGGGGAATGGTCAAATTCAAGCAGCAGGGAAAAGGGAATTACATCCTTTTGAAAATAGAGGGATTTATTTCCAAAGAGATTCATTTTTTAAAAGAACTCTATCTCCAAATAGTTTAATGCCTTGACATGTTTTGACGGGTTGTTCAGAGCCTGACCTAGTACACGTGTTACAACCACATTTATCGTTTGTATAGAAATGGGAATGGCTAAAGTTCTTCAAAAGTGTGTTCTCCCTAAAAACAAGAAGTTCAACACCCCTAGGATCATGCTCACTCCTTAGGACAGCTCTTCCCTCCTAGGCTGCAAGGAAGCAGACCCCAGCTGGGGCTGCCCCTGCTGCTCCAGTTCTGAGTGGGCCGAGGCTTGCAAAAGCAGCCCCCGTCCATCCCCTTCCCCCAAAAAAATCTCCAGATTCCAGACTAGATCTGTCCAGACCCATCTGAAAATTAACAAGCTCCTTCTAAGCACCCAGAGCACCAGGCCTTGTCATGGAAACACTGATTCAACCGTAATGAGAACCGACAGAAAACCACACAAATGAACTAAACATTCTTCCACCCAATCGGCGCAGTCAAGCTGAAGCAACAGCCTCAGGAGTGAGAGAAGGGAGGCTGTTTTTTTCTTTGTGGTCCTGCTGCCTTGTTTTCACAACTCCTGTTTATGAGACGGTGGGAGTGGGGGAGCTGGGAGAGAGACAGAGCTAGCAGGAGGGGAGAGAAATGCAGAGGGGCTATGCCAGGGTGGGGAATGCCAACAAACACTGCGGCTTCTGTCAGGCAAATGAAAACTAGCCTCATGGTCTGCTTGGGGTTGTCGGAGAACAAGCTATAGTGAACTCCCATTTCCACTAAAACGGTGACGTGTGGGATGAAGTCTTCACTTTCCAAAGAATGCTTCTGCACAGCAAGCATTCTTTTTATCTTTCTTCTTCATTATTCTTTCTTGTTTGTTTGTTTTCTATTAGAAAGTCTCATTACACGAAGCATCATTATTATTGAAAGAAAAAGCAGAGTTGAAGTTTTTAAAAAGATGCCCAACCAATAGAAACAGTAAAATCCGAAGAAGGAATATACAGTATTTCATTTCCCCCTTGGACGCACAAGGTACAGTTCGTGGGTCGAAGGAACCCAACCGCAGATCCCAGTGACGGTCGTTCCTGCAGGAAATGTCTGGGCAAGGGCATCGCCTTCTGGGGCTGCAGGGGGCACTGGGCTGGTTGTGGCCCTAGCCTGGGGGGCAGGAGGGGGAGAGGATGGAGGGCGGAGGCTGGTGGCCCAGGTCGGGAGGGCCGGACCGCGCGTGAAGGTTTGCACGAGCCCCCGGCCCCGCCTCAGAACCGAGTCTGGAGTTCCTGCTCGTAGAGTTTTCTTTCTCTTTAGAGTGGGACCAGGTCACAGTAGCCCCGCAGCAGAGGGGAGCCCCGTCGGCGCCACCCGCGGGCCCGGGCAGTTCTGGGGCGGCGAGGGCGGCGGGGGGGACGGGGCACTGCGCTCCCGCCAGCCCGGGGGATAGATGCCGCGTCCCGGGGCGCCCGCGCTCCCCACCCGCAAACTTTCCCCAGCCTGGAGGGGCTTCCCACGCCTCCCGCCTTCCCCTGGGGCTGGTCACTCACGGACAGCACCGCGGGGGCTCCGACTCCGGCCGCCGCCGTCCACACCGGGAGGAGGGGTGGGAGGAAGAGGGAGAGAGGCGGAGAAGGGGCGGAGGAGGCGGAGGAGGAGGGCGGAGGCGAGGGCCGGGAGCCTACCCGCGGGGAGGGGAGGGGAGGGGCGGCCATTCCCCAGAGACGCTCCTGCGCCCTCTCCCACCTCCGCCCCCCCCCCAACTGCTCGGTCCCTTGCCGGACCCCTCTTTTCTCCTCACTCCCTTCCGGCCCTGGATCCCCCAAAGTTTTTCTGGTGTCCGTTTCTCCATTCTCTTCCTTCCCTTGAGTCTCCAGCAAAAGTGAGGGGCTAGGTGGGGGCAGTATATGTTACCTTTACAAGCTCCCAGGAAGCAGGTGGCTGGGACACTTGGGAGGTCTGAAGCCAACCAGCATCCCCGAGGACCCTGAGCCTCAGGACGCGGAGTGGTGAGATAATGGGGCGGGGAAAGCAGGGTTAGGGACTTTGTGGTCGTGCTTTCCACTTCATTGAGATTTTTTGTTCCTTTGGGGGTTTGTTTTGTTCTTGTGATTAGGAGAACTAAAGGATTATGTTTGAAGTGTCTGTGCTGCTTTTTCCTTCAGAAGTGGGACCAGCCCTGATCCCAGACCAAGATGAACCCTAAAAATGAAAGCTCACCTTCCCCTGGTGAATCGGCACTCAGGAGGACACAGGATGGCTTGGGGATGGCTCGGTGAAGGGCCACTCTGTGGACAGGGCAGGAGGTGAATACTTAGAGATGTGTGCTGCCTGCAGAGTGCAGAAGAGAAGGGGCGTTGACCTCTGAGGAGAGCTGGAGGGTGGCTTTTAGCCCTTAGTCCATCACCTGCTGGCAGGTGATTCTGGGCAAGTCACTTGGCATCTCAGCCTCCTCCAAAAGTGGGGCTGCCTCCCTGGTAGTGAGTCAGCATAGAGAGGAGGTCTGCCTGTGCCTTTTACCCTCTGCCCAACCCCAGGGTGGAAGCTTGAACTGGGTTTGAGTAGACTCAGGGGAGAAAGGAGGTAATTCTGGGCCCTCAGTCATGAGGAGCTTGGGAGGTTGGCAAGACTGGAAGCCTTACGGGAAGTGGGAAAGTCTGTTTGGGGATGTATAACTGGACACGAAGCAGAAAAAAGGAAATCCATGAAAGTTTTGTTTTAAATATGTTTTTATTGATTTTTAGAGAGAGAGGAAGGGAGAAGGACAGAGAGATAGAAACATCAATTAGAGAGAAACATCATGGATCAGCTGCTACCTGCACGCCGCCTACTGGGGATCAAGCCGGAAACCCAGAACCGGTGACCTCTTGGTTCGTGGGTCAACACTCAACCACTGAGCTACACCAGCTGGGCTTCATGAAAGTTTTCAAGCAAAGGTATGCTATTCACACTGTATTTCCAGAGCCTGGCATACAGTAGGCACCATAATGGTGACTGAGGAATGCTGGTGTAACAGTCTGAAAGATGAACTATCTAGGAAGAGAGGGCTTTGACCCAAGAAGGGGTTAGAAGGCCCTAAAGACCATGTTAAGTTGAAGTGCTCTGCCTAGATGGTAGAAAGGAAATGAGGGAATTCTGAATGAACACTTGTGTTTGCATGACAATTCGGTTCTCTTTTAAATGCTCTTTTGGGTCCAGTCTTGTACTTGTCTTTGGAGTTCCTGGTGAAATGGAAAATATGTTGTTCAGTATCCTATTCAACCTCCAGCCAGAATTAAGAACCTATGTATGCTGAGGGCTGAGGAAGTCACATAGCAAGGATCTATTTAGGACATTTTTACTCAAAGGTAAAATTTCTAATTGTGTTTTTCTTTAAGATACCCTAAACAGTCAAAGGCACCAAGTCCACCTCCCTTCCTAATTTCCTTCAGCTAACTTCCTGGTGGTGGTCATGTTTTGAGGAAGGGCAAGGAGGGAGGCTAGAGAACAGAAAGTCAACTGACTGGTGACTTTTCAGAGACTTCTATAGAACCAGACAGGTAGGGGCCCGAGTCAGGCTTCTTATAAGAAGCAGAACAAGAAGGACAAAGGAAGAGGAAGGGGAAAAACAGGTGCCTTGACCCTCCAGTGGTCGGCAAACTCATTAAGCAACAGAGCCAAATATCAACCGTACGACGATTGAAATTTCTTTTGAGAGCCAAATTTTTTAAACTTAAACTATATAGGTAGGTACATTGTTATTAACTTAATTAGGGTACTCCTAAGGCTTAGGAACAGCCACACTCAAGGGGCCAAAGAGTCGCATGTGGCTCGTGAGCCGCAGTTTGCCCACCATGGCCCTAGGCCTTTTGGCTGAAGCTCCAAACTGAGCCTCCTATAAACTGTGTCCAGCCACTGGGCCTCCTAGGAAGGCCAGCCTATCTCAGAAAATGCCACAGGTAACAACTAGAGAAAGGATGGACTCATACAGGAAACAATACATTTGACAAATAGCAATCATCATCTCATTAAAATAGGGTTTTGAATGCATCTTTTTAAATCTATCATCTTTGAATACGCAGTATGGCCTTTGAATAAGCAGTAGCCCACCTAGTGAATGAAATCTCTTTTGGAAACTTGGACACTTCTGCAAAGCACATAGGCCCATAATCTCCTAAAGACCAATTACTTGGTTGAAAATCATTTATCTTTTGCAAGGGACAGCACCCCTCACCCCACCACCACCACCCTCTTCTGTGTGACTCAGCAGTGCCCCAAAGGTTGCCACTTTCATGAATGCAGATTTATTTCTTGTAACTCCATCACATATTTCCAAAGGACCCTTTCTTGGCACTCTTTGTATCAAAATCTGCTGGTAAACAGCTCAGCCTGGCCTCAATTAGTGAGGCCACCACAGCCGGTCATCACCAGCTGTGACCTCATTTTACTCCAGTTCCTGCTCATTTCCTTGCTCTGCTCTTTGCCCTGCTCTACACTAAGTAGACCTTCAGATATCATTCTCCTTTCTATTAACAGGCCCCTTGCCTGCAGCCTTTTCATGGAAACCATTTAGAACTTCCACACTGTTTAACAAGGGGTCTCCAAAGTGTCTATAGATATAACCCAGCTGATTAACGTGGAATGCCTTAAAACTCAATTCAGCTGAAGCTGTTGGGATCAATTAATATAAATTCAAACCAGTTTGCAGAAATGCCTGATGTGAAAGGGGATATGGTTGGGAAAAGTGAGGACTTCAGAATTAGGACAAGCTTAGCCCCAAAGGCTTGATTAAGAACATCCCTCTCTAAAAACTTTTCAACAATTAAGTCTCTCTTTATATTGCAACATTCATTCAAGATGGAGTGAAGGCTTTTGGAATGCCATATTAAAAAAAAAAAAAAAAAGATTACAGTGTATGATGGCTTCAACAGAAGTGAAAATTAAGTAGGAAAAAAGAATCACCTTTTTAGGTGCATGATACATTCTGGCCTGATGTCTGAAACACACACTGTTTTTAAACAGCCTTTTCCATGAGGAAACCTGAATACTCTTTGAATAGAAATTTCCAGACATAAATTAAAAGCCTGTATCTTCACGGAGAATGCCAACTGAAATCACTGATATTTAGGGGGATGATCATTTAATTCAGAATGGCCCACGACTGGCTATCCTTTGTCCTAGAAATGGGACACTCTTAGGTGTGGCTTGAGCTACCCTGACCATTGCTATTGGCCAGTCCCTTGGCTTGCTCCCTAAAATGTATCCAATTAGTATTTATTGAACACCTACTATGTTCAAGACATTCTGCTAGGCACTGTGGGGGAGTTAAGTATAAGGCATGGCTCCTGCCTCTCACATCTGTAGTTGCTTAGGGAGATAGCATACATGACAATGACTGCATGAGATATGTTGGCCATGTAACACATCAAAAGTGTCCTAACGAAATACAGGAAAGCATAAGTCAGGGAGAATATTCTTTAGCATCTGAGCAAGAAGTCACTGACATTTTGTTCTTCGCTGGTTAACTGTGTTGATTCTATTCTTGGACCTATGTGGTGTCACCACTTGGCTATTCCACTGGTGTTTAGAGACCAGTAGGATTGAGTTCAGAGATCATTAAAGCTCCTGAAAAAACAAACATAAAGGTTCTAAGTGGGGGAGGTGTCTCTAAGGCTTCTACTCCTGCAAAGCAGACAATAGTCTCCATCATGTTTTCCCCTAGAAGCCAATTCTAATCCTCTCCTTATGAAAACGGTTATTCTAATGCTCTGTAACCTTTTCTTTCAAAGATTTCGAAGAGCTATAATGGGTTTTCCTGCTCTAATGCTTTGACTGCCAGCTAATTTCCTAATTTGGAGCTAATTACTAAACTGCTTAAAAATGTAAAGCATGGGCAACTGCTTACTGACAAGCTTTCCATTTATCACCATGGCGTCTGAGGACGTGGCCCTTAGCCAAGAACAGAAGCTTTCTCTTCTATCACAGAACAAACTAGTCCTTGTCAGTGTAGCTCTGCCGGCTGGTTTCTTAGCCATCGTCTTCACGTGTGAAAGATAGAGTTTGAAGGCTTTCAATAGCTGGGAGCAACTTCCAGGGTTATTGCTTCAAAAAAACAAAACTATAAACTGCACCTTATTCTCTCTGGGGATTTTTATTATAAAGAAGGCTTTAATTCATGGTCATTGGGAAAGAGCCTTTGCTTCAACTGTTTTGGTCCCTTTCTTAGCTAATTGGTTCCTCATTTTATTTATTTTCTCTCACATTTTTGTTTGGAACTAGTGCAGCTCAGTTTTTGTTTTATTTGATTGGATAATGAACTGGAAAAAGTGGTCATGTTGTTAAAAGGTCTGTTAGCTGAACTGATAAAGTTAGTCTCTTACCAAAAGCAATGGAAAATCCAATTTTATCAGCTTTGAAAAGTGACCACTATTGCTTGTAACAACATAATGGTGTGGGTTGAGGGTTATTTTAAAAACGCTACCACAAGACACATGCTGTTTATCACAGCTTCTCAAGCTGTGCCTGGAGGGTCTTATCCCTTCACCCAGTCCTGCTATGGGACATAATATAAACAGTGCCCCTGGAGTTGTGCAGCCCTCTAACCTATTCCCTGTCCTATTACAGAACCTATTTATTCCCTCATCTTATAATCCC